CTCTCTCTCTCTCTCTCTCTCTCTCTCTCTCTCTCTTCTCTCTCTCTTCTCTCTTCTCTCTCTCTCTCCTCTCTACTACAGGAAGTCCTTTATACATACATTTTCATTTACTCTCCAAACGGCTGACGAATCACGAAAGGATTCCTATAAAAAAAAAAAAAAAAAAAAAAAAAAAAAAATCTTTTTCCACTGCACATCCGGCACGAGTTTTTACGCAGATGATTCTGCTGATGGAGGGACTTTGAAGGGAGCCAATCTGCGAATCATTGCAAAATCTTTTTTTTTTCTCTCTCTATCTCTCTTATTTTCTATTATTTTAATACTAGGGAGGATATCTACACGTGTATATTTTTGGGTTAATGTTTTGGCTCTATCGCGAATCATAACAAACCGGGTTTTTTTTTTTTTTCTCTGATTTCTTTTCCTTTTTATCTCTTTTATATCTTTTTTTTTTTTCTTTCTTTCTTTCTTTTTTTTTAATACTAGGGATGATACCTATACGTCTATATTTTTAAAATATTTTCGCTTTGTCTCTATAACCATATATGGCTGTGGCTAATCATATGCTTAAATGTGTATATATGTTGTACAGTGTGTTTATCTATCGGTCTATGTTGCTCTATCTGGCTATCTATCTATCCGTCCAAAAGGATAGACGTATTGATAGGAGATGGACAAATATTCAGGAAAAGTGATGTGTGTGTATACGTGCGGGAAAATGTATGTACATATAAACCAGTATGTTTGAATTGATGTTTCAATATATATGGATATCCGTAAAAAAAAAAAAAAAAAAAAAAAAAAAAAAAAAAAACGCACACACACAAAATACACATGAAATAAAGAAAAAAAAATATATTATTCACTGTTACTACCCGATCCTCTTAACATATTTAAAAAAAAAAAAGTTTACAGTCACCAAACGACGATATTTGAACTGAACGTTAAAACACTCAACCCCGAGAAGAAAATGTATAGTTCCGAATCGCCTCATATAATGTGCTGTCAGTTTTCTCTGTGTTGTGCTTTTAGCGAAGTTTCTCCATTTTCCTTGTGTGTGTGGTTATTCCTCGTAAGAAAATGTGTTTAGAATGATATTTTTATCAATGGGATATCATCTCTATGATTGAGAGAGAGAGCAGAGAGGGAGGGAGAGAGAGAGAGAGAGAGGAGAGAGAGAGAGAGAGAGAGGAGAGAGCGAGAGAGAGAGAGAGAGAGAGAGAGAGAGAGAGAGAGGAGAGAGAGAGAGGAGAGAGAGAGAGAGAAAAACCAAAACAAAATATTCCAAAAGATTGACTTTGCGCTTGCCAACTCTTTGTTTTATCAAGTTTTATTGATTACCATTTCTTTTTTTTTTACTTTAATTTTTTCTTGTCTATCTTTTTTTTTCTTTTTTTTTTTTTTTTTTTTTGATTTATTGCTACGGGAGTCCTTTCTGAATTTTTTACATTTATTTTTCATCTCTCTTATTTCTTTTTTATTATCATTATTATTATATTATTTTTTTTTTCTATCTTATTTATTTTTTTGCTACGGGAGTCCTTTCTGAATTTTTACTTTTTATTTTTTCATCTCTCTTATTTCTCTTTTTTATTATCATTATTATTTTTTTCATTCTATCTTATTTATTTTTTTGCTACAGGAGTCCTTTCTGAATTTTTACTTTTATTTTTTTATCTATCTTATTTCTTTTTTATTACATTATCATTTTTTTTTATTCTATCTTATTTATTTTTTTGCTACCAGGAGTCCTTTCTGAATTTTTAACTCTACTTTTTTTTATCTATCTTTTTTTTTTTCTTTTTTCTTTCTTCTTCTTTGTGCCACGGAGTCCTTTCAGAACCCGGGTTGGGCTCCTCGAAAAGGACGCGGCGCAGATTGCTCCTTCGTCGAGGGAAAGGACGGGGCTTAATCCTCCTCTGTCGGCGGCGCAGGATGAGAGACCCGTGTCCCTTGATGACGAAGTGGAGGGGAAAAAAAAGGAAAATTGAAAATGACAGAATTCGGAATGATAATTTTTGTAATGATGGAGGTTTTGATGTTGATAAGATAGGGGTGATGATGGTGATTGATGATGATTAATAATGATGATGATGATGATGATTTGTAATAATGGGATGATGATGATGACAACGACAGTGATTCTCAAAATAGTAATGATAATGATGATCATTGTAATCATGGTGATGACGATGATAAAAGATATAACAATCAAATTGGTAATTATAATCTTGATAAAAATCATTTATTATAATGATATTAACAATGGTAATAATGATAATAATATAAAATGTTTATAATTTAAGATGATGATAATAATGAGAGTAACAGAACAAAAATATTAATATCAGTAGTCATAACAAAACACCAACGATAATGAAAATAGTAATAACACCAATGCTTGTATTTTGCTATAATTAAGATAATAATAACACAGTCACCGTAGCAGGAAAAAACAGATGGAATCGAGACAGAAAAAAACCAATAGATATTTGTGACTACGTGAGTTGCCGCGCGTGTTTGAGAAATATTAGATAGCATGAACAGTAAGTGACCGTGTGTGTGTTGTGTGTGTTGTGTGTGTGTGTGTGTGTGTGTGTTGTGTGTGTGTTGTTGTGAGTTGTTGTGTGTGTGTGTGTGTGTTGTATGTGTGTGTGTGTGTGTGTGGGCGTGTGTGTGTGTGTGTGTGTGTGTGTGGGCGTGTGTGTGTGTGTGTGTGTGTGTGTGGGCGTGTGTGTGTGTGTGTGTGTGTGTGTGTGTGGTGTGTGTGTGTTGTGGGCGTTTGTGTGTTGTGTGTGTGTGGTGTGTGGGCGTGTGTTCGTGTGTGTGTGTGTTGTGTTTGTTGTTGTGTGTGTTGTGTGTGTGATGTGTGTGCAGCTGCGTGCTGCGGCGTTGTGTTGCACTCGGGACTCTGGTTGCGTCCGTGCTGTGCGTACCTGATGTGTGCTTGTGCATATGTGTTTGTGTATGTCTGTATGTGTGCCCGTGCATGCGCTGCTCACGTACAATCAAGTCGGGAAATTCCTTCTCCGCCCAACCAGTGTCTTT